GGTGAGGCGTTCAGGGGACGCTGGACAGGGACCTGCTTTCTATTATGCTGCCTGGTCTCCTCTCAGGGCCTCTGTGCGTTTCAGGCTCCCAGATGAACTGGTAATGACTGAACTGGAGGCAAATGACCAGGATAAGTTCATTTCTTATGGGTTCCTCTGGTCATCTTAGCTCACGGATGTACTGTAACTACTTCTGGGAACTGGGATGACCATGGAAGGAGGATGTGGACCTGTTTAAGATCATCATCCTGGCAGAGAATCAAATGATGACCTGGTTTTGTGTATCGGTCATATTAAGCTGAACTTTCATATTTTAAAGTGTTCATGATCCAAAAACATCATGACTAATTTTTTATTCCTTTTTAATTTCTTCAATTGAAAACATTGTGATTCTTCTAATTTTAGATATAAGATAGTGACTGAAAGCTTTATTAGAACTAGGACTTTTTTGTTCTGACAAAATGACAAAGTCTTTCAGATTCATGTGGCTGACTAGTGCTTTGATTTGTCTTTCTACCAAAGTTTTAGTTGAGACTAGTTTAACTATTTTGCATTAATTGTATCTGGCAACAAGTGAATCCCTGCAGAAGCCTGTGTGCTATCTGGGTCCCTGCCCCTGAGGGCTACGTGTTATTAGAAGGGGTTGATAATTAGTCCTCTGGGTTTTATGGCAAAGCTCACAGTGGAGTTCATTAATGAACGCCTTTGTTCTGAAACATTACATTGTTTCTGTTTGTTGTTGGAACGCAGACTGATGAAACCTGTTCATCATCAGGGGCCAAAGTGGTCCCCTAAGGCCCCAAAGGTTTGAAACAGTTTGACTCTGTGGAGAAAAACACAAACAGGTGAATCTGTTTTAGTTCTAACTTAAAGCCAAAGAAAGTTTGCAGTTTTCACGCATAACTTCTTACATTGCTCTTGATGCAAACCTTTTGCTCTCACTCCAGAAAGATGTTGAACAATAATCTGAAATTACTGGATTACGGTACTCAGGTTGATTTTAATCTGGGGTCAAGGGTCAGTAGACCTCTCAAACAAAGCATATAAAAGATATTAGAGAGCAAGCGACCTTACAATGTTTTTGATCGAAGATGCAAAAAGATTCAGGTTAGAGTAGCCTATAACAGTGTTTATACCTGTTAATAGATCTGAAACAATATTGTTTGTTGATGCTTCTCAAGCAGTAGAGAGATTACTTTATTTGTAATATTGCTGCACAGAGCTGCACAATCCTCCATGTGGCCACCAGAGGTAGGATTACTTCCATTAGGTACCGAGTTGAGACCCTAAGACCCTTTGTGAGACTATATGCTGATGCGGTTGGCCCGTTGGGTTCCTCCTAATGCAGCACAATGGAAGACCTCATGTGGCTGGAGTGTGTCAGTTCTTGCAAGATACTGTAAAGGCATTGAAGCCATGGAACCGCCTGTTACACAGACCTGAATTGGATTAAGCACATCTGGGACATCAAGTCTCTGCATGGTGAAACTGCAAAAGATCATAAACAAGCCCCACAAACTGGAATCCTCACAGTCTCCATCCATTGACTAATCTCATTTTGCACCAGTCGGCGAATGCTTTAGTCCAGGTCTGGGAGGAGATCCATGAGTAGACTATCCACCGCCTCATTTGAGCACATTCTGAACTAATTTAAGGACATTACCACCCAAGAATATAAATTAACAAAATTATAAATAAATTGTAATACAAAAAAAAACTGAAAACAATATTGTATGAATTCCTTAGTTAGGAGTTTTGTCTAAATAAATCACATATTTTACATTTAATTTTCACCATATTAGAAAAAAAAGGGTTTCCAAGCAGAGTAAAGTATTTCTTCCTTCTATTGTTTTTCCTATTTTAAATGAATGAAATCTAAATAACCTGCCTTAGAAAGTTATAGTGAGTTGGAGGACTCTTATTTTTCTATTTAAGCAAAATCAGGCATCTTGCTTTTAATAGTACAAAACACATTGATATATAGACTGTTAGGATGTATGTCAATGGGGACAACTTTGAGCACATTGTAAGGACGTTACTGAGACCAGATCTGGTCTTAACATCTGACTCATCAAAGCAAGTTGAGTTACTGGAGCTTACAGTCCCCTGGGAAGACAGGATGGAGGAGGCTCACGAAAGGAAGAAGGCGAAGTATCTTGAGTTGATTGAGGCATGCAGATGCCGTGAATGGAGGGCCCGCTGTGAGCCAATAGAAGTGGGCTGCAGAGGCTTCCTAAGTCAGACCGTGCATCGGGCATTCAGGCTTCTTGGCATCAGAGGCTTGCTTGAGAAAAGAGCCACCAGAAAGATCAGTGAGCCCGCTGAGAAAGCCTCAAGGTGGCTGTGGATCAAGAGGGGAGACGCATGGAGTAGCCCGCTGCTTGAACACAAACTGGGGCCTGATCAACCCCGGTTGGGTCGCCCAGACGAGGGTGTCTGAAGATCAAAGACCCGAAACACCCTATGACCCTGGGTCCTTCACTGACGATGTGTTCAAGCTGCACCGGCTAGGTGTTTCAAAATCTAGTAATAACATATGTGAGTCTGTAGGGAGACTGATTTAAAACATTTTTATAAAATGTGAATGGTTTTGCTCCAGCATAGGTAATATTGGGAAAGTTACAGTATGGAGCATAAAACGTTCACAAGACGAGTCTGCATCTGATATTTCTCCTTTTTAAGGGCTGGAATCATACCCACTAACCCTGGTTATATTTACTGGTCCTACATGCAAAGAGGATTTGGGACACCACTACCCTCACAGGATTGTGCAAAAAAAATAAAAAATTGATGGGTATGGAAAAAAATTAGGGCTAGGGGGCGTGTTGGGATTGGTCTTTGAAGATCCTGTCTGCAGACCTGAGTTCAGTGGTCCTATTTTATGGATGATCCAAACCAAATAGTGAGGGTCAAACATAGGATAAACACTGGTGTGGAAGATGACCATTAGCTGAGCCTGCAGGGCCTTCTTCTAAGGTTTGTCTTTGTGTGAGGACCACTTAACCTCAGGTCCGTTCCTAGGAACTAGTCCACAGCCACAGGCTGTTCCAAAGGGTGAGGTAAGGGAGCTTGGCAGGGGGTTATTCGCCAGAATTGAGCAGGTTAACCAGCAGGTTGTTCTGGCAGTTGTAATTCTGTTTAGACCCTGTGTCTTAGTTTCTGTTTTGAAATACTGTATTTACCTCAGGTTCCCATCCAGATGGACCGAGTCCTGTTATCTTAAGAATAAGAACTCTGCCTTTGGATGGTCGTATGTCTGTATCAATTTTTTGTCTCTCAGTTGAGGTGTTTTATTGTTTCGTTGTTTTAATGTAATTTATTGCAATAGTTTTCCTCCTTTTGTTACCAACAAAAGCATAAAAACTCACAAAGTTTGTGTTTTTAGCCTTTTATCTGTAGAGGTGATTCTAACTCAATGTCCCAAAAAGTTAAAGTCGAACTTCTCAGACTAAGAATCCCTGCAGAGACTTTATTGACTTCCTACAGGAATCAGACTCATTATCTGAGCTGTAATTAACATCCGTTACTTTATCTTCCCATGGGATTAAACATCATCACAAAGTGTAGATCATCAGCTCACTGTGGGATTCATTAATCAAGCACGAACTCTTGGTTCTGTTTGCTGACGGAACCCATCCCTGGCAAAACCTGTTGCTCACTAGCGGTCGCTGTTGTCCCCCTGTGGCCCTCTGTCTGAATTCAAATGGACAAGTTGAATGAATCTTAGTTCAACATAAAGAACTTTTAATCATGCTTTATTCCGTCTAAGTTTTGGCAGTTTTAGAGATTTTTATCTGCAGCTGCTATGAAGCACTTTCTTGCTGCTTTTTATAACGCACACAAATACAAACTGAAACTGAGGTGCATTCACTACTCTTAAATCTGAAAAAGTAGATGTAAGTTATTAAATGACATGCCCCAAATTATTTTTACATATACTTTTTCTTTAATTGTGTAGAAATTGAGCAAACCCTTGAATATGAATGTATATATTAGAGGAAAAACTAATTTAGCCAAATAAAAAATATATGAAAAGATCCAAATAACGGCCAAGTTAAAGTAGCAGTGATCATGATATAGAAATCATCAGTTTATTAATAAATGATATAACTGAAAATTTTGGACATAAAGTTATGGAAAGCTCTCTGCAAGGGTTAAACCAGATGATTGTTCACCCAACATCATAGTTTCAAGTTGAATCAAAGTTCTGAAAGTTTCCTGAGAATATCATGATAGAAAAAAAATCCTTTAAATTAAATCACTGAATCACATATGAAATAATTTCAAAAATGGCAGAAAATATAAATTCATATATTAAAAGTTATTTCAATGGCCTTTAAATAGAGTCATTTGGGGTCGACAGTCTAACCACTTGATATTATGAAAATTGAGTAAAAAAATTAACAAACAAAATAAGTAATGTTTTCCTAACAATTATTAGAAAGTGCAGCGATAGAAGCTACACTTCTTACACTTTATATGTCTATGCATTGAAAAAATTAATGCTTAATTGAAACATTTATGTTTTTTGAGGACAATATTACCATAATCTCATGTTCAAGAATATGAACTTTGATGAAAAAAGGGTTTCAGGGGTGCCATGACTTTTCCAGCGGTAGCTATAGAACCTCTTATAGTGGTTCTTTATTTCACTGAATTAAAGTAGAAAATAATGTGGATAGCTCTTGTAAAAGATGGAAGGAAGTTTCTTACATTTTTATTTAAACTCCTGAAACTGCCAGAAAATGTTTCACTGATAAAGTGCATCTTTGTTTGTACATTACATTTTATACCGTTCAATCAACACATTTAAATGACTTTTATGAAATGATTGTTATGACATTTAAAATTATTTGGTGTTATTTCATAAACATCGAAAAAAGTGTAGTTCAGTTCTGAATACATGTAATATATAAGGTACAGGAGACAAAAAGAAAACATTTCATTAGGACAATTTGGACAATAGATAAAACACACATCTGTATGCATTTAAAGGGGATATACATTATCCTAAATATCTGAGACAAAATTTGAAAATATATTTTCAGGATGAAGAAAAAACTTTTTTAGACCTGAAAAAATTAGAAAGGGATCTATTTATTTCTTTGAACTGAACTCCATAAATGATGGGATTCAAGCTGCAAGGGATGATGTGAAACAATATGGCCGACATTTTCCTGTGGTCCGAATACTGAGGGAATCGATGCAAAGCGATGATCAAGATGCCACAGAAAAGCATGATCAGATACACAACCAGGTGGGTACTGCAGGTCTTCAAGGCCTTCCTGTTCAACGACTGGTTCTTACTGGTCAGACACACGGCGGTGATCCTGGTGTAGGTGAGGACGATGCTGCCTATGGAGGCTGTGAACAGGACCACTGTAAAGGTCAGGCCATAGATGTTATTGATCACCACACTCTCACAGGACAGCTTGAACAATGAGGCGTTGTCACAGTATGGGTTAGTGATGAAGGTCCTGCAGCGGTTCAGCCGTATGGTCAGACCCAGCAGAATCCCGACCAGAACAAAGGCCGTCCCCCAGGCAGAGACGGTCAGCTTCAGCACCATCCTGTTGGTCATGATGGCCGAGTAACGCAGAGGGTTACAGATGGCCACGTACCTGTCGAAGGCCATGATCATCAGCACCGTGTGGCAAGAGGTGGCAAACAAATGTGTAGAGAAAGCCTGAACGACACACTCATAGTAGCTGATGAGCAACTCTGAGGGATTCTTCAGCAGGTCAGACAGCAAACGGGGCAAAACAATAGAGTTCCCAAAGATGTCATTAACTGGAAGGTTACAGAACAATAAGTACATGGGTTGATGGAGGTTCTTATCACTACAGACCAGAAACACAATCCCAAAATTCAGTGTCATAATGAACAGGTAGGAGAAGAGGAAAAACAGAAAGACAGGGTAGACAGATGTTTCTGTGAGCCTTAAACCCTCCAGCTGGAGCGTCAAACTGTTCAAGGTGACGTTCTCCATCAACCTGAAACAAATTAAGTGAGAGCATATAAAGTCTCCTTCCTAAACCTAGAAAAAGAGCAATAAAATCTGAATTAGGTTGACTCATCTGTTCTTTATAAAACATCTAGAAAACAAAGTCTATTAAACAGCTGTAAACTTTTGTGAAAGTTTACCTGCTTAGAACTACAGTATGAACAACAACATTTTTAAAACCAATTATAAATCCTTTAGAAATTGTTCAATGAGGCATAAATTGTAATTTTTGGAGTATAACCCAAAACCTTACCTGGTATCTCCGACCTTCTTAGGCTTGTAAAGATCAACCGTCTGAATCGCTGGGAGTCAAATACTTTCTGGGCTCATTTTATATAAATACGTCTATTCATCTGAGAGACAAGTAAAGATGAAACAACATGCTGGTCGTCATAGAGACCAGCAGGTCACACCAGTGAATGAGTTTTTTTCTTTTTAGGCTGAGCCATAAAGTTACTGCTTCATTTGATACTTTGTTCTATTAATTTTGATACAATAATGATGAACAACAAAAACCATGTGGAGCCTTATGTCTCTTTAACAGCCCTTACTAGTTCTATTGAGTTGGCATCAACTGATGACCTGAATGTTTCAGTCATTTTAGTTTTTTATATAGTGCCAATGCATAACAACTGTCAACTTGAGTCTGTTTGCTGGACATAATTAATAACCAGGATGAAAAGCTACTGCAGATCTGCAGCCTGCAAAATGTAGGTCTGAAGAGTTACAGCCTGCAGATCTGGGGTCTGCAGTTCTGGGGTCTGAAAATTTTGAGTCTAAAGACCTGGGGTCTGCAGATGTGCGGCCTGCAGAATTAGGGTCTGAATTTCTGGGGTCTGCAGATCTGGGGCATTCAAATCTGGGGTCTGCAGATCTACGTTCGGCAGATCTGGGGTTTGCAAATTTTGGGATCAGAAGACCTGGGTTCTGCAGATCTACGGTCTGCAGATTTAGGGTCTGAAGAACTGGGGTCCGACGATCTGGGTCTTTCACATCTGGGGTCTGCAGATTTGCGGTCTGGAGATCTGGGGCCTTTAGATCTGGGGTCTGCAGATCTGAGGCTTGCAGATCTGAGGTTTGGAGATCCAGGGTTTCAAAATTTGGGGTCTGCAGATGTGGGTTCAGAAAATTGTGGTCTGAAGACCTGGGGTCTGCAGATCTGCGGCCTGCAGATTTGGCTGAATTTGTTTGACTGTGATTTGAGCTTGATTCACACTTTCATTTTTTTTGTTCTAACACACAGCCAGTAGGGCGTGTGTTCATAAACAATATATTACAGTCCAAATAATATCTGATTAAATAAGATATTTACCATCCCTGCCGGGGTGGGCAGGGATGGTAAATATTGCACTTTAACTACACAACTTTGTCCAGTGGCGAAACATGTCCTCAATTTCTGTCATAGATGCTGCTGTCCTATGGTCATGCATACTTTAGCTTAACTACAGCATGTGTGTGTCTTTATTTGTTTCTTTCCAGCTGTAATAAAAAAAATCTTCAGTCATTCAGACTCATTGATCTATCATTTCTATCACATTTTTATAATCAATGTTCGGATCTTAAACAGAGAATTGATATAATTTTTCTGGCTGTATATACCAGCAGGTTTGTTTGGTGGAGGGTTTTGTTTCTGTTTAAGTTCAGATGAATTTAGTTAGTATACACGTCAGATTAAATAATACTGCCTATACTTCAGCGATAGTATCAAGGTGCCACTTTATTGTATCTATTATACTGTATCCGTTGGTTGTGTTGTTCTTTTTACGTCTCTCTTTTCAGGTGATGAAGCAGACTGAAGACCTTTTACTATTGTCTCCTTTTTATCTCCTCTCACTGGAAAAAAACTAAATCTAGCTAAGTAATTTTTTCTTAAAATAAGTGCATTTGTTCTTGGATTGAGGAGATAAAAGAGACATTTTGCCAATGGAACAAGACAATTTACACTTAAAATAAGAAAACACAATTACACTGTCTTATTATAAGTGCATATTATCCAATTACGTCCCCAGAGCCAGTTTAAGCGCCCGCGGATCAGGTCGCCGAGGTCTCTGCCTCTGGCTGCCGCCCAATCCACTCCTTTGGCCTCAAAGCGATTCTGGCAAACCGTCCGGCGCCTCCGGAGGGGAAAACAGTGCTTCGCTAACACTGTTTTCAGTGGGAGTGGGGAGCTGCTGACCTTGAAGGAGGATATTGTCGGGCGGTGGAAGGAATACTTTGAGGATCTCCTCAACCCGACGGACACGCCTTCCGTGGGGGAAGAAGAGACGGGGTGCTTGGGGCNTTTAGCTTAACTACAACATGTGTATGTCTTTATTTGTTTCTGTCCAGCTGTAATTGAAAATCTTCAGTCATTCAGACTCATTGATCTATCATTTCCATCACATTTTTATAATCATTGTTAAGGATCTTAAACAGAGAATCGATATAAATTTTCTGTCTGTATATACCAGCAGGTTTTTTTGGTGGAGGGTTTTGTGTTGGGATCCGGAGGCTTGTCCACCAGAGGGCGCCGAAGATCTTCCTGCTGAGGGTATGAGCTCACCTCCACACACCTGTTTCCTGTCTCCTCATCAAGAGGACTCCTACTTAAGGAGGAGGAGACTGACACTCCCCTGACAGAGTGTTTGCCAGTAATGGTAGATCTAAACCTGAGCCAATGTGACACCCACTAAATGTGTGTTCACATTTATATAGATGTATTATGTATGATTCCCTTTAGATGTGAGCTCTCATAGACCCTCAGTTTAAGGTTGTCAGTTTTAAGGCGTTGTTACCTATTCCCACCAGCGGGGGGGGCAGCCTCCCAGGGCAACGCGTTTTGTCTTGTGGCTTTCTGGATGGTTCTCAGTCTGCTGAGAGAAGAAGCCAACGTAAAACACTGCATCCGCCTTGCTGATTACTTTTAACATCTTTCCTCCTTTTAACAGGATACTTTAACTGTTGCACTCCACCCCACGCCTGGGGGGGTGTAACAGCTTTGGGGGCTCGTCCGGGATCGGCATCCTCTCCAGGAGTGAGTCATGCTGATCCAGTGATCCAGAAACCGTGGGCCAACGGGACTGCAGGTGCTTTGAGTGAAGGAGGTTGACAGCGAGCGGCTAACGAGGCGAGGTAACCGGAAGGAGGGGAACTGAGCCTGAAGAGTGCGAGACTGTTAACCTTTGGCACCTGCTACGTGCATCATGGCTGACAACGAGAGGAAGAGACTGATATGGTCCATCAAAAAGAAACTACACCTCCTAACTGCTGAGGGGGCCTATGAGGTTGCAACCCAAATCCAGCCTGTGGCGGGACTTGACTCATCTAAGCTAAGTAAAGATGACGAAGAGAGCTGTGTTGAGTTCATTTCTGCCTACATGAATAGCCAATCACTTTTAGAAGAAGAAGATGAGGGCATGGCAACATTACTGTTCTTGGAAGATACAGTTGGTGCGATTATTACAAACTGTGATAAGGTACTGTACTGTCTAAAGCAAACATTGAGGCTCCAACTGTTACTTTGTCACCTGCTAGGTCACCTGACACTGGTAACTAAAACCAACATGAATCTGACCAACTAAATGCTAATGCCGATACTGGTAATATAACCTATGGTACTATGAGTGACATACAGGGTTTGCTGATTAGTTTGGATGAAATACAGAACAGACTACGTCGATATAATGTCAATAGGAGTGCCACAGCGCTACACGCATCCAACACCCACACCAGCCACACACCTCATCCGAATACCAGAACACAACTCCCCACCCCTGGCCAGCCTGGCAGTCACCAGTCATACCCAGCGCACACTTATACTGACACATGGTCAACCCACTTTGGTGAGAGTGTGATTGCCCTTAGAGATCTACCACTCCTACAGCGAAAAGACTTTAAGATACACGGTGGCCAGGTAACTGACACAACGTCTGACATCAGCTACAACGCAATATGTAAACAGATTGATGAAGGACTCAGAGAACAACATACTGAGGGTGAGATCATCAGAGGGGTCCTCCGTGTCATAAAAGGTGGGAACTTCAGGGACATGCTAGTCAACAAGGAAGATCTGACAGTCACAGAACTAAAAAGCTTCCTCCAGTCCCATCTAGGAGAGAAGAGCAGCACAGAGCTCTTCCAGGAACTTGTGTGTGCAAAACAGCATGAGCAGGAGTCTCCACAGCAGTTCCTGTACAGAATGATTGGTCTAAAACAGAAAATAATGTGTGCTTCCAAACAGCCCAACGCAGGTGTCAGGTATGATACCTGCACAACACAGGGTGTTTTCCTAAACACAATATATCAGGGAATGGGTGAGAAATATGAAGAGGTCAGGCGAGGACTGAAACCACTTCTAACTGACCCCACCATCTCTGAATTTCTGTTAAAACAGGTGATAAAGACCACAACGGAGGAAAGACGAGAGATGAGCGCAGCTGAGAGAAGAAGCCAACGTAAAACACTGCGTCCGCCTTGCTGATTACTTTTAACATCTTTCATCCTTTTAACAGGATACTTTAACTGTTGCACTCCACCCCACGCCTGGGGGGGTGTAACACCAACCTACCAGATCTGAACCTTGTTTGTTCCGAAACCTGTCTGACCCTGTTTGTCTCTGTCTCACAGATCCTGAAACCTTGGAGATTGAAAATCTCACCCTGGAATCTGCCTGCCTGCTCTCAGTCTCAGTCTCTGCCTCTGCCCTCAGCCCTCGGTCTGCCAGCAAGCCTCCGGACTCACAAGATTCCCCCCCACTGATCAGAACCCTCTCAGAACAGGTACTTTATCCTGACATCTCAAAACTGCAAGTTTCCTGGATCCTGTCTAACAGCTCTGTCCTCCTCAGTGGTGATTCCCCGTGACCGGTCCAAAGAACCAGAACCAGTTCATCATTCTATTATTGTACATATTGTAAATAAACCCTTTGAACTTTTTCCCTGACTCTAAGTGTGTTTCTGCATGTGGGTTAGACACCTTGAACCCAACATGACATTTTGTTTCTATTTATGTTCAGGTTAATTTAGTTAGTATACACGTCCAATTAAATAATAATGCTTATACTTCAGCGATAGTATCAAGGTGCCACTTTATTGTATCTCTTATACTGTATCCGTTGGTTGTGTTGTTCTTTTTACGTCTCTCTTTGCAGGTGATTAAGCAGACTCCTCTTTCTTTCATCTTTTCTTCTTTTTCCTGTTCTACTTTCCCATTGCAGTGCCATATAATCTGTAATAATCTGTAATACTCCCTGCATAATCATAATAAAACCATGCGTAAACCAAGTGGAACACTATGACGATAGCCGTACTGCTGCACTTGTGAAAGCAAAATCTGTTGGGCTCTTTTTTGGCAAAAAAAACAAAAAGAATTTAGTTAGTTTGGAAATTGTGGTTTGGTTTGGTTGATGTGAATTAGTCTCTTTTGTGTGTATTTGGTTGATTCGTTTATTATTGTTTGTCAAATTGTCTGAAATTAAAGCCTATTTATTCATTCATTCATTTTCAGTCGACTTGGTAATAATTTACAACTTAATGATTGGAACTCAGGTCCCTAAATAGAAAAAGCTAAAATCCTATATAGCAAACTACGACACGTAATTATTCACCACTATTTTCATAATATTCCTACACAACTTGATTTTTTTTTTCAAAAATATATACTAACAGCTTAACTAGCAGCTTGTCTGCAGCACCTCATCTCAGAAACCTCTAAACACTGCACAACAAAGCTTATACAGATTTTTTTCTGACTCTAATTTGACTCTCCATTTGCATCAGCTCATTGTTAGGACTTCCCCTTTCCATGTCTTACTTGATTCCATGGCTTTATAAACCAGTGAGGACCTGATGCGGGCCCAGATCATCCTCAGGTCAGGAGAAAGTCAAGGAACTCTCCTGTCACTGAACTACTGAGCTTTGAGCATTTATTTTCTGTATTACTGTTTTGTAAAGATTGTTTTAGATTTTTGTTTCTTCTTACTGTTGTCTAATAGAAAACAGTCTCTGCATCTGTTTTTCATGGAAAACTACACTGTCAACAGCGTCATGCTGCAAATTGAAGGGTTAAATGTCGCAGGGACTGCTACATACCCTGTTTTCTTCTTCTTACTCTTCTGCTATGTTTATATCATGATAACCAACATTGGGATTGTAATTCTGATCATCATGGATGAAAGTCTCCATCAGCCCATGTATTTTCTGTTCTGCAACCTGCCTTTCAATGATATTCTTGGAAATTCAGTCATGTTGCCTCGTGTGATCATGGATATCCTCCTCCCTCCGTCCGAGCGTCTAATCAGCTATTATGAGTGTGTGGTCCAGGCTTTCTTCTCACATATTTTTGGCACCTCTACCCACACGGTGCTGATGATCATGGCCTTCGACAGGTACGTGGCCATCTGTAACCCTCTGCGTTACTCTGCCATAATGACCAACAGGATGGTGCTGAAGCTGACTGTCTATGCCTGGGGAACATCCTTTGTTCTGGTCATGATTCTTTTGGGTCTGACTATAAGGCTGAGCCGATGCAGGACTCTCATTGCAAACACATACTGTGACAACGCCTCGTTGTTCAAGCTGTCCTGTGAGAGTGTGGACATCAATAACATCTACGGCCTGACCTTCACGGTGGTCCTCCTGACCTCCTCCATAGGCAGCATCGTCCTCACCTACACCAGGATCACTGTGGTCTGTCTGACCAGTAAGAACCGATCTCTGAACAGGAAGGCCCTGAAAACCTGCAGCACCCACCTGTTCGTCTACATGGTGATGTTTGTCTGTGGGAAGGTGAACATTGTGCTGCATCGTTTCCCTGAGTATGCAGAGTACAGGAAGGTTTGTGTACTCCTGTTTCACATCCTTCCAGGCAGCCTGAACCCCATCATTTATGGAATCCAATCCAAAGAGATAAAAAAGTTTCTGTCCAAGCTGTTCTGCTCCAAAAAGGGTCTGGCATCATCATTATGACGTCAAATAAAAGTTATTAGGTCTGAAACTTTAACATGGAATCAGTTCTCTTTAAAAATGAAAGATATTTGTTTAAATGAAAAATCTCTTTCTTTTTTTTCCAGGAAGGTTTTTCTGGAATGCAAACCACAGTTTAAGCATTTGTATTTTTTCTGCAGATTATGTGTCATATAAATGTTATAAAACCAAACTGTTGATTGCTGATTAAAAGCATGTAAAAGTTGTTTCTAGTACTCAGTTTGGCAACAGCTCTCTGGAAACATCTGCTGCACAAGTTTTAATCCACTTTAATCCATTATTCAAACTTAATACAGGCCGACTGGTCCACAGCTTTGATATCCCTGATCTTCTGATCTTTACAAACCTTTAGGTAAAGTTTAAAAGCTGAAATGCTCCATAAAGATGGTTCTCATACAGCTCCAGCTGCAATCACATTTTGTTCATATGTCATTATTGATCATATTCTCCTCACTGAAGAGAGAAACTTCAGACTCTCACCTTGATATGCACACGTGTTTACTTTCATAAGAGTTCCCCCTGTCCATGTTACAATAACTGACATTTCGGGCTGTTGATGTGATAAAGTTTATGAATGAATCTGGAAACAATCATCTTCTTGGCGTAAACACTGAATCGGCATAACAGCTCATCTCTTCTTCCTTCTTTTCTCAGCAGCAGACACATTAAGTGTATTGCAAACATCAGCTAGATTAGAACTTCCATGATTAGAAAGTATAAAAGAAGAGGCATTGAGGCATGAGAAAGACCAGCGGATGGCGAACTGGATGTAGGAATCTTCCAACAAACTGCAAAAGCGCTGTAAAACTGCTTTTCTCCAGTAGGTTTTTAAACACACACTGCAAAGACATCTGTAAAGTGTTTTGGACTGTCCATGTTTGCAAACTCCGGTTTAATGAAGGCTTTGATTTGCGTTACTTTTTAGGTTGGAGATTAGATCCTAAAATAAGCCAGGATCTTATTCATGAATGCCATAATTTCAAGGTAAAACCTTATTCAGACATTTTAAAGCCGAAAAAGAGAACAAACAGATAACAAACAAATAATTGGCCTCCTAGTGTAGGCTTTGCAGTAATTTATGGACATAATCAGTAATATCCAACTTTTGCTAATCTGTTTAGCTGTGTTTCTATACTAGATAGTACAGAAACACAAATGTACTGGATCAGTGTTTCATAAGCACTGGCCTGCTGGTTCTGCTGGAAGTTTTCTCTGTTTATATAGCTGTTTTTCCGCACAGAGAACACTTTATCAGATGGAATGGTAAATTCTAGTGATGGGTCGAGCAAAACACCGATGCATCAGTGCATGTGTGGAGCCCATAGAACAAGACACTGCATCAGTGCGTGTGTTTTTCAAGAAAGTCTTGTGACCGATACAGGAGTTGTTCCTAACTGAGTGACTCACTAAACTGATTTTAAGAATGTATTTGCAGTTTATCATTAAAATTAACAAGAATTTTGGAGCAGCCTAAAAGGAATAGGAACATTTCAGCCGTTGCGTTTTTTTTTTTGTTTTTTTTTCTCATTGTGTCATCCTTTTCCTCTCAGTTATCGCTCAACTTATCTGAATTGAAGTTAATTTGAAACTGACTCTTTGTTTATTTACTGTTTTTATTGTACTTACTGCTTTAAAAACATGATTTAAAATCCTAGTCCACAAGCATCCTCATTCACATTTTTCCCTAAATTATAATGTTTTGATATATGTTTACATTATTTATTGGCTGCATCTAAAAATATCAAACATATTTTCAATTTAAACATAGATATTAAATAATACAATATAACTTACAATAAAATTAATTATTGTATTATAGTAGGTCATCAAATCAATTCAGTTCAGTCTGTCAAATAAACTGTCTGTAGTGTTTTTAAAGTTCCAGCAGGTGAAGAGTCAACGACATAATGAGGGCATCAACTGGTTCAACTCAAGCCTAAAAAAAGCAAACTATAATGCGGTTTGGAAGGACCTGACATTAGGAGTCTCGGTTGAATAGTGAAAAGCATTAACTCTAACTGGTAAGAAGTAGCAGAGGAACAGGGTAATATCTGAGCTGAACCGCCTGATCCAAAAGGTTCTGAAACTCTTTACAAGCCTCTAAGGAGGGTTTAATGTAGGAGATGTGAGGAGCAGAATGATAGTTTTAGCATCATTAAAGGTTTGTGGATTTTACTTGACACTTCAGATATTTTTATGAACTTTTTAAGCTCAGAAAATCTATATCCATAGAATAGAATAGAACAGATCAGAATAAAATTGAATATGACCGAAAAGAACAGAACAGAATTTAACACAGCAGAATAGAATAGAACAGAATAGAATAGAATGACTATACAAGAAGTCCTAAATATTTGTCAATCAATGCAATTCACTTTATTTCTATTGCTCCAATTCATAACATGTCATCTCAAGGCACTTTACAGAGACAATTCAATCAGATCATGCAGTCAGATTGGTTCCAAGTTTTCTATCTAAGGAAAACCAGCTGATTGCATCGACTCACTGACTTGAAAGCAATCCCTCACACAAGCATGCTTTTAGCGGGAGTGGAGAGGAAACCTCCAGCAGAACCAGACTCACTTTGAGCGGCCATCTGTTGAGGCCAACTGGGGTTCAAGTGGATAGAAGCAGACATACGGAAAGAACCAGAGATACAAAAGGCAACTGTGATTCAGCTCCACAGGCGGCTCCGTCTAGGAAATCTATCTATCTGTCTGTCTGTCTGTCTGTCTGTCTGTCTGTCTGTCTGTCTGTCTGTCTGTCTGTCTGTCTGTCTGTCTGTCTGTCTGTCTGTGCCATTTAGACTTGGACAAGTTTTATTGTCAAAATTAAATATCATTTTGTACAGCTTTCATGACATTTCCATTCCTTAAATCACAGCAGTAATCAAATGTAAACAGTGTGAGAGAAAAAAACATGGTACAAAAAACGGATTGAGATGGAAGTTCAGAGCATCAAATATATATGGTGCAATTATGCTGTGTTTGTCTGGTGTTGAGTTTCTTTTTTCAACAGTTCAGCCGTCTAATGGCGGTGGGGAAGAAGTTGTTCTGTAATCTGCTGGACCTGCATCGGATGCTTTGAAGCCTCTTTCCAGAGAGCAGCAGGGAGAACAGTCCATGGTGGGGGTGTGAGGGGTCATTGATGATGTTTTTCAAATCAGACCAGGTTTTCCCCCAAAAGTTAGCCAATTATCAATGTGGTCCACAACGTTTCAGGACACCACCTAGACAACAACGGTTGAATGACGACATGCGGTTAAACGAGTCATCAACAGTCAGTTCAGGGAGGGGACTAGAGAAAATTACAGTCTGACATTGTTTTGGCAAACTTCCACACCGAAGCAACAGTAATTTTAGTGACCTCCAATTGACACATCTGGGTGTCATTAACACCATCTGAATAACAATTTTACTGTATTTAACCTTATCCCAAAGACATCTGTGGAGTAAAAGCTGGTTTATACTCAGAAACCAGGTTGTCTGCGTGTGTGTTGCAGTTAATGCAGATATGCCCTCCCACTTGGTTTGGTACCTTACCGTTTGGTTTGCATGACCACCATTTTGAAAAATGACTTGTGAAGTTGGACCATCTAGAAGATTGAGGTGCGCGAGAACGCTGGGACCCTTTTTTCACCTGGATCCCCGCTCTTTTTCCCCCTCATGTCCCTCCGTTGTCGCACAAACTTGCCCCCACTTCCTCACCGCCTCGGCCGTATCTAGACCCACAGCTAGTTCATGATTGTCCCTCTTGTGTTGTGGCGTGGAATAACATAACACAGACCATGCTTCATTATTGGGCATAAATACAAAACATGACTTACACCTCCGACAAGCTCACTGTGACACACTGCTGCAGGAGTATTTACAGCCAGGCTTCACCAGTTATAAGACCAATGGAGTCTAAAACTATTTCTGTCTATTGTTTGTACACATGGAGAGAGTGAACTATTCGTTATATAACTGGAGTAAAAAAGGCAACCCCTAAAAGTTTACATTTTCATAATTTTCCGGACATATATCATAAATCATGCAGCCTGCCCTCAGCTTGTTAGGAATCCAATTTGTGTGGGTTGTGTTTTTGTGTCTTTCTCTCCCTCCACCACCAGGTGGTGCTCTGTCCTCGTTGCTCCTCTCACACACCTGTGGCTGGTTGACTCATCACTGAGGAATATTTGAGCCATGGACTGTCACTACCTCGGCGCCAGAGTGTTTCCCAGTTTTGGGTACTCCGGCCAAGCTGAGTTTTGCTGAGTCTAACTGAGTCTTTGTTTTTTCGCTGAGCCTAACCTAGTTTTTTTTCTTTGCCTTTTCGGCAGGAAGCTTTCATGCAAGCTGGATGTTTGGCCTTCTCCCCCTGGAAGGATTGCTTGAGTCTCACACTGATCAGGGGATTAACCTCCACAAGTTCCGTTCAAGTCCTCCTGGATTCCCAGGTGACAGTCCGCTCAATAGCTCCGCAGGGTCTAACCAAATCTAAACCTGTCCGCCCTCCAACGAAAAACCCACACCGACTGGATTCTGGGAAGAAAGTTTTCTCCAGTAACGTGAGTCCCGTTTTCTCTGTCTCTCCAAGTCACCGTTCAAAGTTCCCACGGATCCTGAACTAATCATTAAAACTTCCCTTCCCTCTTCCAGTTCCGGTTCACTAGTTCACTGTGTTTCCTGAATCCAACCCCGCCGGTTTCATCAATAAACCTGTTCAAACTTTTACCCTGGTTCTCTGAGTGGTTTACTGCATGTGGGTCAGATCTCTTAAGAAAATCATGACACAGCTTTCTTTGTTTTGATGATTTGCAGAAGAAGAACAGTGGTGTTTTTGTGGAAATTACATCAGCTTAGGGTAATATTCAAAATGTAATGTTTGTTGTGAAGGGTGTGTGTCAAGAGCCATCCATTATGATCATATAGTCCTGCAGCATTGAGGAAACATTTAATTTTATTCTCTGGACTCCGACTTTTGGTCTGATTTTAAGTTTCCTTTGTTTAGTCCTTGAGACATGCTAAGAGTTGTGGCATGGTTGCAGTAATGTTAAATGATAAGTTTCATTCAGCTCCTAATTTACTCTCCAGCAGACTTAAATAAAGTTATCACATTATGTTGCTTTGCTTTGGTTTCAACCAATATTTACTGCAAACACTAATAAATGTTAATAGTTTGATATCTCATGTGTTTAACATGGTGAGCTGCGAATCAGGTAAATTTTTAGGAAGAGGAAGGGAAGATAGCCCAGTCGGTTGACAGCTGCAGAGGTGAGCTGGCTGTGAACACAGACTCTAAAAATCACACAGCTGCTTTTAAATTCAAGGTCATCTGGGTTAATTATATTAAGCTCCCTTCTTTCCTATAATATTCTATTAAAATATAATTTTGGTTACAAAATAAGTAGCATATCAGTTTTCAATACTTACATCAGTGCTGCCCAGACGGACCATTTCGCAATGAATAAATCATGGGAAAGGATTAGCTATGAAGGCTAACTGGACCTATCCCTAAAACTGGGGACCTATTAAAAAATTGAGACTGCTTTCATCACACCGCAGTGACGATAAGAGCCTTGGAAAGATGCAGGCCCTTAATCTAGACTGAGACCAGGAGGGCTAAGATGTGGGGACTTGTATGTTGGCTGCGAGTGGAAAACTTCAACTAACCAGTGCTAAGATAGAGTTATGGCACAACACCTTCAAGCCAAAACACATGTGAGGCAAATTAGTTCATTTGTGTGGAAGATTTTAAAGTTAGATGCCAGATTTGTGCTTCATGTAAGAGGTGGAACATCACTTTAAGGAGCCCCAGGAAGAATTAAGTATAATTCAAACTTTCTCTATCCCCTCCCCAGTACATAGAACCAAATACAGTAGCAAACCCAAGGATTGAGCTGAAGGGAAAACTGAATCAGAGACAAGGCGGAAATCTGGACCTTCTAGAGTCAAATCAGATCCTCAGCTGAACTTTATAAAACATGGATACAATCTGGATCTGTCTTTGAAAAAAGTGTGATTTCCGGAATCCGTACTGTGCCAAAAAAAAAGAACCAATTAATAATGCTGCCAGACTTGAAATGAAAGCCAGCTTTCTGTTTACCAGGATAGAAAACAAACACACAAAGCAGAGAGTTTGTGAACTTTGTTTCCTGTTAAAAATCCACAAAGAAAATGAAGTATTCACTTATTTTCAGCTTTTGATGAGAAACAGGAACTTTGATTGAAATCGGGTCTCTGCATTTATTTCCACACTATTCCTAAAACAACACATCAGATTACAATTGATGGTGCTGTTGGAGAGAACAAAATTAAGTCTGATTATTAAGTCTGATTTAACAAGAAATTGAAATCAGTGCACTTCTTTCAAGCAACATTTTTTAATCCTTACATGGGAGAAGAGATATATCTTTTCCAGTTTCACTGTCTGTTCAGATCTAGACAAGAATTTTCTAACTTACTCAAAGTCTGCAAAGAGCTGTGAAGGTCTCCACATACAGTTAATCAAAACAAGTTACAGACATTTAAAGAAAACAGTGACATGTTAAATAAACATTGAATATGAAGCAGCCTGAACTCTAATCCAAACAGTCCCTAATAGTACTAAATAACCCCTCTCACTCAGACACTGTAGCCTTGCGGGGAGAGATGGCCTGAATGAATACTTTAGTGTAATAAACCAAAACAAGCTCACAATCACAGTTATGAACTAGAGGCCTAACAGGAACAGGGGTAATATATTTATTTTTCCCCATCACAATGATGTAGAGATCTAATTCAGCTGTGGTGAAAACTTCAGCAGAAGATTTTTTTCTTTTTATTTTAGTCTATTTAGTCTGTATAAGATGCCCCCCAAAAAACTTATTTTTGGTCGATAGAGTAAATGTTGGAAACAGAACCAAGAGTTTGACATGTGTTCTTTTCAGATATCCATTATTGGGAAGACAGAATCTTCCTGGACCGGACCAGCTTTGACAGGAATTGTCTGATCTCGTTAGACTGTGTTCCATAAATGATGGGGTTCAGGCTGCTGGGAACAATGTGGAACATGATAGCAGAAATATTCCTGTAGTGGAGGTACTGGGGAAACCGATGCAACAGGATGTTGACCTTCCCACAGATAAACATGATCATATAGACAGACAAGTGGGTGCTGCAGGTCTTCAGGGCCTTCCTGTTCAGAGACCGGTTCCTGCTGGTCAGACACACCAAGGTGATCTTGGTGTAAGTGAGGACAATGCTGCCTATGGAGGAGGTCAGAAGGACCACCGTAAAGGTCAGGCCATAGATGTTATTGATTACCACACTCTCACAGGAGAGCTTAAACAAGGAGGCGTTGTCACAGTATGGATTAACGATTAAAGTTCTGCATCGGTTCAGCCTTATAGTCAGACCCAGCAGAATCCCAACCAGAACAAAGGCTGTCCCCCAGGCTGAGGCGGTTAGCTTCAGCACCATTCTTTTGGTCATGATGGCAGAGTAACGCAGAGGGTTACAGATGGCCATGTACCTGTCAAAGGCCATGATCATCAGCACTGTATGGGCGGAGGTGCCAAAAATATGTGAGAAGAAAGCCTGGACCACACACTCATAATAGCTGATTAGGCGCTCAGACTGAGGCAATAAGATGTCTGACATCAGACGGGGAACCATGTAGCAGTTACCAATAATATCGTTAACTGGAAGGTTACAGAAAAGCAGGTACATAGGCTGATGGAGTCTTTTATCAACCAGAATCAGAGTTATAATACCCAGATTAGAAGTCAATATAAACAGGTAGAGGAAGAGGAAGAGGAAGAAGAGTGGATACATGGAAGCTGGTGTGACTTTGATCCCTTCTATCTGCAGGGTGAAGCTGTTGAAGGAGGAATTGTCCATCAGGCTGAAACAAAACAGACAAACAGATCCATGGTCATCACAAACAGGAAGAAGTTCAAAGTTAAATGATCTTACTTTAAAACAGCTGCAACATCTCAGATTATAACATGTTACCTGGGTTTTCTATCTTGCTCCTCATTACCTGTTGGACCATGTGGCATCAGACCTGAGTGTCTGTCATTTTATAAAGACAATGGTTCCTCAGAGGGTCGACGTCAACCTCATGGTCTTAGCAACAGACAAAATGGTTACATCATTGCTAAACTTCACCCTTTCACAGTTAAAGAGTCTGAATTAGTCACCAATGAAGAATATTTAACATCACTCATTAAACAGTGTCACAGAGGGAATTTACCATTAAACTGTTTTTTTATGTTTTGGAAAAATGAATAAATCATCATACCATTTAAGGAATTAATGTTCTTCAAGTAATTGTGTTACTTTTTTAAGCTAAGTTCTCAATTATTTTTCTTATCTTTGAGTTATTCCTGATGCTTGTTCTGTTTTTTTAGTCCTTACCTGTCGAAAACGATATCCCTCTTGGTATCCCTCTGTTCTAATGAGTTCCCTTCCTCAGTGTCTCAGGGACCAGGTTCTCTCTCAGCTGCATTGCATTCAGTTACCTGAACTCACCTGATTTAGATGCCAAAGTAAAGCTAGCTTCACACAGACTATGTTCTCTTTCTGCTATATCATCTGTAGCAGAAAAATTGCAGCTGTGAACCGAGGATGGGTGCTGAGGAGCACACCCGCAGCTCGGGGAGCCCTGCCGGGAAACAAAAACTGATGGCCCGGAAGAGGCTACAGCTGGCCCGGGCTAACTGGAGGCTAACTAGGTAGGATAAAACAGAAAGTCAGAAGATCACATTAGTAGGGAGGGAAGAGAGGTGTCCAAAGGCAGTGTGAAGTGGCTGTGGCTTACTGTGAGGAGGAAGGCATGACAGCAAAAGGATACACCAGGGAGAAAGAGGAAGGGACGATGGCAGGATAAGGCGACCTTTAATGACCTCAGTACCTTGGACCCAATTTTCAGACAGACAGATCAAGACGATTTTCAACAGGCTTTATTATAGACAAAACACAGCAAGCGGCTGGTCGTCAAACCGGCGAATAACCAGATTATCTGCAGATATACACAGGTCAGTGACTGGAATGTTGGGCTGATCACGACTAGGAACAAAAGTCACTGACCTGGTTCAAAGTCCAGTCTAATCCCAGAGGCAAGGGAGGAATCCGGTAGGGAGGTTGTCCACAATGGCTCCGAGTGAAGCTGGTGCCAGCCAATGCCGAGGGAGCAACAGTGTCCGTGAGGGGATATGCAGACCCAAAGTCAAATCCGAACCAGGTAGAAAAAACAGAATATCAAAGAGCTGAAAAGGTATCGAAGGACAATCCAAGCCGAGGCCCGTGACACAGTCCAAGTTCGGTAACCAGCAGTATTCAGGGAAA